TACAAGCCGGACAGGGAAACTTCGATGGACTTCAGTTTGCAAGCGATGGAATCCGTCAGAAAAATATGTGCAGGTCGAAAGGTTTCAAGTTTACGGCGGCACAGCAACAAACGTCAAGCGAAAACCGCATTCCAGTACAGCAGAGGTAGGAATTTCTTTAATGCGCATGCTTTGATCGTAGCTCTTGTCTGTATTGTTTTTGATAATGAGAAGATGCCTTTATTAGAATTACGTCCCCAACTTGGGTGGAGGTGTGTTGCACGACTTTCCTATCCCAGACTAATATATTTTTATTTTACATACCCTACCCCAGACTAAAGGTACAAAGATACATTATTTTAGCGCTGAAAGCGTGCACTAGCAGATACGATCACAGGAAAAACTACTCTACCCCAGACAATGAGACTATACTCTATCCTAGACAAAACTAGTACCCTATCCTAGACAAAACTACTACCCTAAGCCAGACAAATGGGTAAAAAATGATACCTTATCCCAAACTGGGAGCTCCGAAAAAGCCGGGAGCCTATCGAGCGGCACATACCCGCGTAGCAAATATAGGGGAGTACCCCTACCCCACCCCTCATTTTATACTCCATGCAAATAAGACTTAACGCTGTTGTAAAAAATAGTGAACTAGCCCCAGAGGGTTTCTGCTGCGGTTTGTTTACAGTGAATGCTGCATTTCATAAAATGTGTCTTCTTTTCCCTGGCTCTGAAAAAAAAAATCTGAGTAAAATGAATCAGCATTTCAAGTCGGGCCAATCAGCTTCATGTCATGAGCCGGTTAACATTTTTACATGTTTTTAGAGTTCCGGAATGTAAGTATGAGCGATGTAAAGGATATTTCTTAGGATTTACTTGTTTATAACACCAACTCCGATCCAGCTACGCTTGTTTGCTGTTTGAGTAGCAAGAATTTGAAGCTGCCATTCTAAACATATAAGGTATATAAATAGGGTAGTTCTTGTACTAATCTGATTGTGTTGTTTGTTTTAGTGTTCAGAGACAAAGAATTCAGCAATATCCCAATGTAATGAATGAGCAATTGCAAGGCAACACCGAAACTACGTCAGCGCCTACAAGGGAAGATATTATGAAAATGCGAAGAAAAAGCTCTGTGCAGCGGAACAAGTCGTGCACAATATCTTAGTGTTAGAAGTTTGACTTGAAATGTTTTTAACTCATTTGAACATCAAAAAACTCTTAAGGTACTTGGACTGGATGTTGGAGAAAAAACTAAAATATTTTTTTCAATTACCTGCTTTGTTTGGCATATTCTTAATGCGGATGATGGCTCCACAGAATATTTTCAAGTGGAACTGAATAGCAATATTTTTATTTATTTTTTTTGTAAATGATCCTCACTTTAAGCAGTCCAAGTGGCTTAAACTCTTGTAATAATTTTATTTTACCTTTACGACTTAAATGAACATTATCAAATACTAAAAACAAAAAAACTGATACTAAAAGTTTTGATGCAATTGTAGCCGTGTGGGTGCGGGGCTTGGGGAGAGTAGTGTGTCCTTAGGGATTTGGGGCGGGTGTTTTAGGCCGGTCAATCGCAGAGAGGGGTGAAGAAATACTTAGCACTGGTCAACGGGCGGTTTTGCCTAAGATGGAAGGGTCTGAACCTGGAACAGGAGGATAAGCACTCTGTACTGTTACATTTGGCGCCCAACGTGGGGCCCTTCAAAATAATTATAACAAGGAAAAGCTGAACAAAGTACCTGAAATCTATTTCTTCAAGCGTATCCGAAGTTGTAAGATACGGCAACTCTAGAAAAGTGCTCAAGTTGGTTGTAACTTACAGTCGTATTTCTCTGGAGAAAACGTGACAGTAAACTGCAAGCTAACTGTGCCTTGTTGGCAACTTAAAGATTCATCGTAAGCGAACTACTTCAATTTATATTTGGCAATTTTGAAACCCATGAACTTTGAAGCACTTGGATATTGTTGGAACTCTTTCGATTTGTTGAAAGATTTGGAAACGCCTAGCTTTTGAACAGTTTGCCTTTGAAGTCCGGAGCTGAGGGGACATTTACTCAAGAACCGAAATTTAAAAGAAAAAGTCTGCTGTTCAGCGTTCAGGAATTACAGAATCAGAAGCTAAGTAGAAAATAGGACTGCCTTGAACGACGCCTTCGCTGATCTTTTAAAAAAGGCAATGACCTTTCATGAGGCTAATCCCGGTCACGAGGTTGCAGCGATCGTCTATACTGATGGTGCAGAGAACTCTTCTAAGGAATATGGTGGACCAGAAGGTCTCAAGAAAGTGAGTGCTCTTGTTCWCAAAGCRCGTGATATGGGGATAGAAGTGATCTTCATGGCGGCCAATATTGACGCCTTTGCAACCGGAGATTCTTACGGTGTTCCGCAAACGTCATGTCTACAAGCCGGACAACGTAACTTCGTTGGACTCAAATATACAAAAGATGGAATCCGAAAGAAAAATATTAGCAGGTCAAAAGCTTTCGGATTTACGGAGCATCAGCAATTTGTATCAAGCCAAGACATTGTAGCAAAAAGGAGGTGAGGGAATTTGTCTGATACGCATGCTCTTTTGATCATAGTTCTAGTTGTCTGTAGTAATTTGTACGAAGATGTATTTATTGGTCTGTTCTGATTCAGATAGCGAGAGAGGTTTTGCGCACCACATGCAAGTGCCATGGGAAAGTTTATTTTTTTTCTTATTTTTTCCATTTTTTCAATCCACTAATGGACTTTAATATGCCATGAATAATAGAGAATTACCCAGAGAGTCTCCGCTACGGAATGCATTGTTCATATTGAATCTGCACTGATTTCATAATTATGCTCTCAAAACAACAGAGTGTGAATTAGCCTTTTCACTCGTGCCAATCCGCTTCAGGTCACTATTGAAAATGAGAGGGAATAACCGGTTAACGTTTTTCAGTATATAGTTCAGGAATGTAGTTATGCTGGAAGTAAAGGATATTTCTTAGTTTTTTTCTTGTTCATACCACCAACTCCAAACCGTCTACGCTTATTTCCCATTTGAGTAGCAAGGGACATTATAAATATAAAGGTATCATATAAATAGCAAGCTCTCGTACTAATCTGATTGTATGCTGTTTGTTTTAGATTGCAGAAGCAATGAGTTCAGCGATATCCCAACAATGTACCGATGTTAACACCGAAACTACGTCAACGTCTGCAAATGGAGATAATACGGCGAAAATGTAAAAAAAAAATAGCACTGTGTAGTTTTGATTCACATCGTCATATCAATTATTGCTAGAAGTCCTCCAACATGGCTGCACTCACTTTTTTTCTTTTGAATCTCATGGGAATGGTTGAAATAATCAATACTGCTTAATAATAAATCTGCTAAGAAATTTCTCCTTGTTCATGTTTTTGTTTATATAACTTCACAGGAACAGGACGATTTTACGAGAACTTGTTACTGTGCAATAAACAATATTTCTGAATTGAAAAAACTGATCTAATAAAAATGTATTTTAGTGTAAAATTTGTCCTTATAAGCACGTCCGGTATAAGCCCATTACCAATGGTTCGATCGGGACGAATGGTAAGAGTCTTGAMGCCTCATAGAGATGAATGCACAGCTGCACAGGGATYCCGTTTGTCACAGTAACATGTAGTATGCGTGACAGCCTCAGATTGTTCGAAAAATATTCACTTTGAAATCGCAAGAACAACATCCACAGCATCTATGTTTCATAGCAACGACAATGAGTTAAGGATTCACCAATTGAATTCCTTCGAGACGACCGGTAAAAGCCCATTACCAATGGTTCCATCGGTACGAATGGTAAGACTCTCGAGGCTTCATAGAGATGGATACGGCGCTGCACAGGGATACCATATTATAGCAACGGCAATAAGTTAACGATTCACCAATTGAATTCCTTCGATACGACCGGTAAAAACCCATTACCAATGGTTCGATCGGGACGAATGGTAAGACTCTTCAGGCTTCATAGACATGGATGCATGCCGTGCTCCACAGGGATACCATTTCCTTTCAGATTGAACGACAGAATGAGGCCTTCAATCCATGACCAATGGTACCGATGGAACGAATGGTGAATTTCTCCCCATATCTCTTTGTTCTTTCAATGCTATGGCGAGTATAAGTTGAACCTGAAAGTATTATGCGCGACAGCCTCAGATTGTTCGAATCATCATCACTTTGAAATCGCAAGTGCAACCGATATCACGAGTTTCCACCCTCCAGAAGTCAGAGAGCCTACATGCATATCTTATTTCTCAACATCAAATCAACAGTTAAAGTCAAATCTCATCGCAAAGTCATAAAGTCAAATCTCATCGCAAAGTCACCATGAAAATGACTTCACGAATAGATACCATCGGTAAAATACAAATTACGAATCGTAACAAGTCGTCTATATTGGACAATAACAGTCAATAAAATCAGTAACCTCTAAAATCAGTAAGCATGTTCTACTTCAATGATTCTTTCAGGATAGGAATTCAACTTGAATTAAATTTGACATCGATTGGCACACTTCATTTTGCAATCTCAAAACATGGAACGCCCGGCTATGTTTTATTTTGCGAGAATATTGCATACCCAAACAAAATGATGTCAAAACCGTCACCTCAGCTATTTTGATGTAACTGAAAACATCGTTCGCCCACGCTATAAATGATTATTATGGATGAGGGAAATCGAACTGACGTAATAGCAAAAAATAGCAATATTACGTTTATGACTGGGTTTTGTTCATAGACTGTACAAGACTGAACTTGAATCTTTTGTATTTGGATTTATATATATAATTATTTTTTTAATTTTTTGTTACGACATAAATGACGGCCCTTTTCATTGCATGGCTCTCTTGAGAAGTGCGCATTGTAGTGCAAAATCGCGAGGAAGAAAATCAACAATCTTGGTGAGTTATATTCGCTTCAAAATTAACGAATTTTCTACTAACAGTCTGCGATGTCATTTTTTAAGACGAGAATGACAAAGAAATGCATGGAGAACTAAAAATCAGTTAACATCTTTTCGTAGTATTTAACGTTTGGAAATAATAATTTTGTCAGAATACGAATTCAACTGGAATTATTTGGCAGAGATTTCACACTGTATCAAGCTTGTTTAATTTTTTTGCATACCCAAACAAAATAGTGTCAAAATCGCCACTTCAGCTGTTTGGATGTAACTGAAATGACGTCATCGTTCGCCAAAGCTATATATATATGATTATATGGATGAGCGAAACTGACGTTTCATTGCTTTCTTGTGGAGCGGCGCATTGTTGTGCAAAATCGCCAAGAAGAAAGTTAAAAATTTGGTGAGTATTAAATTCGCTTCAAAATGAACGAATTCACGAAAGTCAGCGATGCCTGTTTTTAAGATTTTTAATATGTGATAGTGTAGGGGGAAATGTGGGGTTTTAGACTACATTTATTCGGTATTATGTACAGGTACATTTATATATGCAGTAATTAGCGATTCCGCAACTCGTAGACTCTAAGTCGCCAAAACTTTGTGCAACAAGCTTTTGCGATTTTAGCAAATATTGCACTGAGTTATAACTCTTAAAAGCGATTTTTGGCGATCATTTAAACAAAATCATGGGTACCGGAGTTGCTTATCGGGCTTTGAAGCGGAATCTCGAATCATGAATCGCATCTTTATAGTTTGAATGAATCATGTCATTTCAATAACACTAACTTGAAGGTCGACGTCAATCCAGACGATTTACCTCGACCATACGAACGAATTTTAATCTCCAGCGAATTTGATCGCTATTATCTAGATATGATATATCATCGGAGAGTTCGATCGGTAAATTGTTTCGATATTAGTAATTTGCTTCGTTCATCAGAATCGATCGGAAAACTCGACAAAGGGGAAGGTGAGAACTGACGATCGAAATTCTCTACTTCGAGCGAACCAAAGAATCACTTTGTGTGTTTTTGGCTTTTATTTATGGAATTATCAAACGATGTAGAGGGAAATTATAGACTCATTGTAAATGAGAAATTGTTCCCAATAATTAACATTTTCAACCAAGAATGTTTCGCAAACCGACCGTTACAACTGTCACGCAATTTTTGTCACTAGTAACGTAACGTGAAGTTATAGGTGTGGCAGAGGCTACTTTGGAAACAATCTACTATATTTTCTTCAAGTTCAATTTGTGGCTCTCATTCTTCAGCCTTAAAATTAATTTCTATGTTATACGAATGATTATTCTTCTAGATGCTTTAGTACGATAGCTAGTGATCTATATAAACCGCGCAGCTAAAAATTGATTGTAAAAAATGAAAATACGGCAATCTGTCAATAACACATTTAAATTTTATCAATCTTTATTGTGTTCTACTTCAAATCAATCTTGTACTAAGTGAAGTCTTTTGAATTTATATGTTCCATTTAGAAGGCATTTAACTTAGACGTTGTTGAGGATGGATGAAGATGCACGCGACGGTAAGATTTCATTCCTGTTGTGGGGGGTGGGAACAAAATCGTGGATTTCAAAAATGAATAGCTAGCCGTTTGCATTATGACGTAACTTTACTACAACTACCAGAGAGCCTTGCGCATTTTCAATGTTATTCAGATTTTTCTTGGAGATTAATAAAACAATTGGCACTAATTGCATTACAAAGGAAAGTTGGCAAAGCATATTCTGGTAGTTGTAGTAAATGACACCATAATGCATATCGCCTATTGAAACCTCGTCATTCTGTTCACCGAGGGGAAATTGAGCTTTTTTGCATCTGCATGACTGTATTTCCCCACTCTGTATCTTCAGAACCGGCTGATTGCCATGGCAACATGGATGACGTCATCAGCATAAACTTCACATTCAAGATCTGCTCAAATAAATTTTCTTGCTTCGAAAGCTACTGACATTTTACTCCAAGGGTCCTCAAAAGACCCCCAAGTCTGAATATATATAGCGTTAACAATAGAAAACAAACAAGGTACAATACTCGTTTCTACACCTTTATTTGTCTCTTCTTATTCAGATATAACGATAGGTTTTGCACGGCGCGTCACCTGAAAGCACGATGTGAGAGTGTATTTTTGTTTATTTTTTTAAATTTGTACTCCATGCAAATTGAAGTTAAGGCTGTTATGAATAATAGAGAACAAGCGGCAGAGGGTTTCTGCTACAGTTTGTTTACAGTGAATGCTGCATTTCATAAAATATGTCTTCTTTTCCCTGGCTCTGAAAACAGAGGGTCTCAATGGGGCTAACCGTGAGCCCTGAAACGGCTGAAAAATTAGATGTGAGTCGTGAAAATGCGAAAAAATTAGCCGTGAGGCGTGAATATATATTTTTTCAGTTTTGTTCCTCATCAGAAGGACAGTCAACTCCAGGCGCGCGCTCGTAATTTTTTTGGTAAATTAAAAAAATAAAAAAATAAAAGCTTTAGTGGAGATTTTTCAAAATTTTGCCTTGCAAGAATTTTTTTTTCGGCCCCTCGGTCCGTTCAGGAATTGTTTTCACTAAATCTTTCACTCTTCCACCCCCACCCCCTCAAAATTCTGATGATTCTGAAGGTAGTAATTGCAAGGTCCTGCAGACAAGTCAGGGCATGGGCAAAATTTGACATTTGAGAGTGATAAAAAAAAGTTATAATAACTGAGTGTCTATAACGTACAAGGGGGCACTGTGCTCCCCCACTCACAATCTCTAGCACAAAACAAATTATGAAAAAGTAATGAAAAACGTTGTTTTCATTTCCAAAATTTCTGAAAGTAATTWAGTTAACCGTGTTTCGAAAAAATTAGTCGTGAGTCGTGAAATCGCCAAATTTTTAGCCATGAGTCGTGATGCGTACCACCCCATTGAGACCCTCCTAAATGAGCGGTACAAATGTGCAGACAAAATCTCCAAAACAAAACTAGCACTCATTTAGTATGTTAGTACATTGAAGACTTTGAGTGGGAGCCGATCATATAGCCACTTCGTAAAAAAAAGTCGGTTCTCGGCTGAGTGAAACACAAGAGATGACAATAATTATAGTGCAAAAAAATAAAAAAAGAAGACAAACAATAAATAAAATAGAAATGAAAAACAAAATCATTAAACGTCTGGTCCAGGGAATCGATCCCGCTACCGTCAAACCTACATTGGATTTACAAGCGGCGCCTTAACGCGGTGCGCCACTGGACCACGCTCATTTACATAATGATAGACCACTTGACACTTTCACCGAATAGACTACCCCAATTTGACATTATACTTTCGATAGTTGCCTAGTTAGTGCAAGGGGTTATCCATCAGTGTCTAGGGGCCGGATAGCTTCTCCCTCACTGGCTTTTTAGTTAGCGCGAAGTTAGGACCAATTATCGGGATAGCATGGAAGAGCCGAAATCTCTAACCGGAATGTAAATCGATTCGCCGCCTCAGCTTCACAGAATGTCTCGGGGGAATCGTCCCAACATTTTTTCAATTTTATGGTCATGGGTTCGAATCCCACGACTCAAGTTTTTTTCTTTTTTCATATTACTTTTTTTCTCTTTTTGTTGCAGTTGTCCTTTGATTGGCTTCCTACATTAATATTTAATTGCAATATCTGCAGAATCACTTAGTAAATATTTCTGTATATTTCAATAATGTGATATTTTAAAGCGCGCTTTCATTGGATGGCTTGTTTTTTTCTTGTAAGTTTGAAAACTCCCGCTCATTTAGTGCATCGAAGTCCTTAATTGAGCGGGACGTCGAGCGTCGCGCTAAGTGTGACAAGAAACCAATGCAAAGGTGCTCGAAATAGAACGTTATACAATAATATGAACCGAAATCTTTTTTTTTAAATTGCTAATAAAGTTATAAAAGGTCTTTCCTTACTTAGATACTATTTTGGGGATTTTTCTTTCCGCTCAACTGAATCGTGCGTTGAAGACCTTAATTGAGCGGGAGACTGCGTCACGCTAAGTGTGACAAGAAACCAAAGTTGCTCGAAATAGAGCGTTATAATATGAATCGAAATCTTTTTTTTCGATTGCTAATAAAGATATAAAATATTTTTTTTACCGAAACAAAACTAGCACTCATTTAGTATGTTAGTACATCGAAGACTTTGAGCGGGAGCCGATCACATAGCCACTTCTTCGTAAAAAAATCGATTCTCGGGAAAGTGAAACACAAGAGATGACTGCAAACAAATAATAACGTTTTTAAGAGTTCAGGAATGTTGCCCGAAATTAAAGGATATTTCTTAGGATTTACTTGTTCATAACACCAACTCCGATCCAGCTACGTATCTTGTTTGCTGTTTGAGTAGCAAAAGATTGATTGAAAAGCAGGCATTATAAATTATAAGGTATATAAATAGGAAGTTCTCGTACTAATCTGATTTTGTTGTTTGTTTAAAGTGTTCAAAGCCAAAGAATTCAGCAATATCCCAATGTAATGAATGATCAATTGCAAGGTAATAACACCGAAACTACGTTAGAGTCTGCAAGTGAAGATAATACGAAAATGCAAAGAAAAAGCTCTGTGCGGCGGAACAAGTCCTGTAGAATATCTTAGTTTCAAAATTTGTTGTTGCTTTTTTAACTCATTTTCAGAACATCAAAAAACTCCAGGTACTTGGACTGGATGTTAGAGAATTTTTTTTTCAATTACCTGCTTTGTTTGGCATATTTTAATGGATGATGGCTCCACAGAATATTTTCATGTAGAACTGAATAGCAATATTTTTATATTTTTTTTGTAAATGATCCTCACTTTAAGCAGTCCAAGTACGGTACCTTAAACGCTTGCAATAATATCATTTTAAATCTGATTATTGTATGTTGTTTGTATTATAGTTCAGCAGAGCCAAAGAGTTCTGCGATTTCCCAAACAAAGTAACCAATGAAGTCAGTAACGCGTAAACTACTTCGTATCTGCAAGTGAAGATGCTGATACGAAAATGCAAAGGAATATCTTTGTTTAGCGTTGATTACATGTTCATATATAATGTTATATTATATAAACTTCTAATAGATATTCTCCCGTTAGAAATATCTCTTTGTACAAGTTTTTGATTATACATGTTACCAAATGAAATTGTGCATGCAAACTCCACATGACGTCATAGTTCATTACTTAATTAAAATTGTTTGTTGTAAATGTGTTGTAAAATATTCCTGTCAACCAATTTGCGCGTTCTGGAAATTAGTTCGTCGCTATTTCCTAATATGACCTAATATGGTGTACTTGTAAATTATATAATTAAGCTTGTGTTACATGTGATTAAATCAGCTCTGCCTTACCATTTGTACCATTTACCTCATAACAGAGAAGGTACAACATCAATGAGTGGATTACGTAGAATATAGCTTTTGAGGAGTCAAATACACTTAGCTTATATCTTATGCCAAGACATTAATCCGCCCAGCATAGTAAATTCGGAAAAATTTATTTCCGACCTCGCCGGGATTCATTGGAACCAACGACTCTCGGATTTGTGACCAGCTGAGGCACAGGGTCAGACTGGGAGCAGGTCGGGGTGGAATAGATGTTAGGTTACGGCAATTAGAATGTAGATGAATTTTTTTGGGGAATTCTCTTTAGCCTCCCCCAACCCAGTCCTCTCCCACCGTGATCAAAAATAACATTTTCCGTCCCATAGATTTTGTACGACTTTATTCTAACTGTTTTTCTCATATCGTTAAGAGTAAGTAGTATCATTTGATTAATTTGTGGATCGCTCGATTGATCGATTCCATTTTGATATTTTTGATGTACCTGAACCATAACGTCATCGTTCGGAATGTCGAAAGGTTTCCGATTTACGGAGGAGCAACAGGATCAGTCACCAAGAGAAGCCGTTCCTGTACAGCAGAGGTGGGAATATGTCTGATGCGCATGCTCTTTTGATCGTGTAGTTCTTGTCTGTAGTATTTGAATAATAATTGGTACCTTCATGTACCTTTATTGATCTCTTCTGCTTTAGATATAGCGAGAGGTTCTGCGCGCCACCTGCAAGTACCATGAGAGATTTATTTATTTTTCTATTGTTTATGTCGTTGTCATGCAAATAATAGCAGGAATTAGCCGGAGGGTTTCCGCTACGGTTTGTTTATAGGGTATATAGTATATAAGGCATAAAATAAATAGGAAGTTCTTGTATTATTAATATGATTGTACGCTTGTTTGTTTTGGGTTTCAGAGCCAAAGAGTTCGCCGATYTCCCAATGTAACGAATGAYCAATCGCAAGGTAARACCGAAACTACGTCAGCGTCTGCATGTGAAMATAATACGAAAKMGCAAAGAAAAWGCTCRYRGCGGCGGAACAAGTCGTGTACAATATCTTAACCTTGACTTCCAATGCTTTTAATTCAATTCTAAATAAAGCGAATAATAAGCTAAACTAAGCGTAATAATTTCATTTTACTTTTAGGATTTAAATACACATTGTTATGACTTAAACAGAAAAATACTAAAACATGTTTTACATGCAATGCCATACAGTCAAGTCACCTCAAGGTATAGACCTGTTTTATAAAAATAAAAAAAATGTTATCACATATTATTCATTTGGAAAAATGTATGCCTTAATTTCTCCCACACGCAAAGGATAGTGAAATGACACACCAAAGATCACCAAAACGTCAAAACGTTTGATGACGTTCGGTCTAACGTCATAAGATCTTCCCATAGTGTCTCTCACCCAACTAATGAATATGATATCACGCAACGCTTGTAAATTATTCATAGCGTAACCTGCTCCCACCGTAAAAGGGCATGCGGGGTTATTCAACCAAACGATCTCCACTCAATCGCTTCTAGTGATGGATTTCGTCGCTCAAAATAAAACCAAATTGACGGTCATGGAGAACATTTTACACAAGAGAAGTACTTGGTTGATATTCCTGGAATCTTTGGTCGTAATTGTTTTGAATTTATTTGCTCTGATTGGAAATATCTTGATTTGTTTGGCAGTCTACAGAAAGCCATCTCTTCGTACCATCACAAACATGTTCATTGTAACTCTAGCTATTTCTGATGTGATAATGGCTTTAGTACCCATGCCGCTGAGCGTTGGAGCACTCGCTACGAGCGACTGGCCTTATGGATTTACAGCTTGTCAAATTCAAGGTTTTACGATCCATGTACTCGTCTTTCAATCTGTTCAAGTGATCACGCTGACTGCTCTTAACCGCAACTTAAGCGTGGTTCGTCCTTTACTCTACAAAAGGATATTCTCAAAAAGAAAAACTTTAGCTATGATAATAGCTGTTAATGTCATATCCGCCGCTGCTATGTCTGGTTTAATATTTCTCACTTCATCTTACTTTACATTTCATCCAGGAAAAGCAATTTGTGTTTTKACTTTCAAGTCAGTATCGCACAGTCAAGTCTTTACAATTTTATTCGCTTTAACATTTATCTTAATCCCTTTGGTAATTATAACGTTCTGTTATGCGAGAGTTATTCAAACGATACGTAAACACAAYCGCGAATTTAAGTCAGCTCGTGGGATGCATGACTCATCTTCGCGACTTGTGCGAGAGGAGGACAAATTATCCAAAATTGTTCTTGCAATCATTGTTGGATTCGCTGCCTGCTGGGTRCCTTGTGTGATTATTGATGTTGTAGACACTCGCTACGATGGCTGGCTACCGAGACGTGTATATCTCATCTACACGTACTTCGGGTATGCCTCGTGTGCTATCAATCCCTTCTTGTATGGCTGTATGAACAAGCAAGTCAGACAAGAAATAAAACAGATTGTGACTTTTTGGAGAACATGAACATTATGTTCTCGAAATGTTTCCGGTAGACATGGCTACAATGGAGGCCTAAAAAACTTTCGCTGTTTAGTTATTCTAGAGTCTAACCGGAAAAATGAATTTATCAAATATCTTGGTTCTTTTACATAGAGCTGGTCAACTACACTTGACTATGTATAGATATATGAAATTCAAAACAATATTTAAGTACAGGTCAATGAAAATAAGTATTTTAAAGTATATAGATGGAAATAATTAAAATATCGGTGATTGGAAAATGACAAATTTTACTTGACTGATCGTCAACAAAATTTAATGGAAATTAAGGAAAAAATTTTATCATATGATTATCTATGAAATACCTATATTTCTCCATTTCGTAAACTTGATATCTTGTTTGAGTTCAAGAAAATCACGAAGTTATATTAAGGCTATCTAAACTGAAAATCAATATTTTGGGCGAATGACGTTAAATATTAGTCAAATGAAGTGAAATTTTGCCCCGGAGGCAAATATTTTTTTTATTGAAAAGGACTAAAAATCATACTTTACTTAAGTCTTAAGAGATACAAATTTAAGTCAATTCGGAAGCAAGAATTCAAAATTATTTGAAGTGCAAATAAAAAAAGATTAACAAAACTAAAAGCCACGCTCTGAAATTCATGAAAAACTCATAAATGGCTACTTAAAAACACGTCGGAGATAAGAAATGACAGTCTCGCAAATTGGGAGTAGAGGTAATAAAGGATCAGGGGAGATAATGCCGGAGACTGAAGATCATTTGATATCATTTGACAAAAGGCTGTAGCTACATATTTACTTTGCAGTAGTACATTAGGAAAAGAGTCGAAAGAATACAAATAAGACAGAAAATAAAACAGTGCTTTGAGCGGATGTGTCAATAAAGTTAGGTGCGTGGCGAATGAGGTGTAAATGGAGATAGCTACTTTGAAATTGAAATTKCGTGAAAAAGGTGTGTTTGCCTTGAATTCAATTGGTTACTCTACTTTTYATAKGCTTTTAAAGGAAGAAAATTTAACACCCCGGGAAAACGTATTTCTATTAAATCTTTGCCGAAKCAAAGCAAAAAACGTAGTGAGATATATCTTGTAGTCAAACAAGATTGGACCGATTCTGATGGTCATTTTGTTTCTCGATAAAGAAGAAAAKATATTTTCTATATATGAATTAWTAATATTTTCCTGGCAATTAAAAATGAAAATGCGGTATTCACTCGTTGCTTTTAGCTAATGACGACTGCTGAGGACGTTCGGTCGATTGGCAACTTTTGGCGGATATCTCTTGTTTGTGGCWGTCTTTTGCACGATTACAACTGGTTTTAGAAGACCGTGAAAYCATAAAAAGAAATCAACTGCCTCTAATATAACTTAAGAAAAAAACATTTAGTAATTATTTTAGTTTTCCAGGCAATTAAATATTAAAATGGAGGTATTTAGTCATCGTTTATCGAATAAAGTATCAAAGTGATGACGCTTCTCGCGAAGGCCAYYCACGCTCGACTCGGCCATTTTGTTTCAGAATCTAACTCAATACCAAAAATCTATTCTAGTCTATACTACTCTGTACAGTTATAGTACAAACATTTATTTGCCAGTATATTGAGTTAATTCTTTAAAATATCGACTTATATTGCAATTAAATCTGAGTGTAAACAATCGAGTTCTTAAAAGCGATTGTTATCAATCACTTGCATTTGGATTTGAAAAATTGATATATTTTCTTGTGGTTATTTTTTTCTAGTCGTACGTTTTTTACCATTATATATCAGTCATACATGCTAATAGGTTTTTGTTTCAGTTTTGTTTATGTATGCCGCCTATACTACAGGAAAGCCGAACACTAACATGCGGATTAGTACGTAGGTTTGTTCGTAAATCCTCTAAATCCTCTACTTTTAACTTATTTGTTAATCAGATATATACTTAGAAATTTGGCAACCGATACAAAACTACATTGACATAATTTTCCTTTAAATGTGTTTATTATAAGCGAGGTGAATATGGATAAAGCCAACCCAAAATGTTCAACCTGCCATGAAAATTCATATTTTCTTTCCGATTCTTTGTGATATAAAATTATATTTTTAATATGAACTAAACATGATGAAGATAGCGGAATAAAAAAGATATATAAGTAATTTAAATGCACACCTGTCATGTCAGTTTTAAAAATAACGTTATCAAAGTGGGAATTTCATTAATGGTATTCTAGAAAATTGTGACCATTTTCAATCATTTGCTACTAAAACACCACACTTTTGAAAGTAGTTATTTAAAAATACAGTCAATCTCATTAACGTTGTGCCCACGCACCCCACCCCAGCCCCCCAAAAAACAACACGTAAAAACGTTTTAAAATCACCTGGAAGAATTTTATCACTTAGAAAATCAAGATAAACAGCATAAACATTTAAATGTTATTGATATTTAAGTAACAATGCGCGCAAAAAGCAGGCAACTTTCTATTGTTCTGRGYCAATTGSAACTTRKKCACATACGAATGTCTTGGTCTTCA